GTGTGTGTGTGTGTGTGTGTGTGTGTGTGTGTTGCTACCTGTGGTAATCAGCTGCGGACAAACGACGACTGCGTCTGAACATATGGCACGGAGGTAGCACACAGGAAACGTCATGGATCTGTGACAAACTTGATATCTATGAGTTTTTCCTCTATCGGGTATAATCCTGCCTTGTTCGATCGGGAGTTGGGGGGGAGGGGGGGAGGGGAGGGGGGGAGAAGAGGTTCAAAATCTCTACTGCTGCGCTGCCTCAGAGCCAGCCTTGGGGCCTGTAGGCCATTTGTTTTGGGCCATGGTGGGGGCTGGGGGGGGGGGAACCTTTTGGCCCAATTTACCTGGGGGAAACCTTTTTTGCCCGAGTTGGCCACGGGATGGTATTGCAAACGCAAATGATAACCATGACCCCTCGTGCATGTGCACAAGGCGGTGTACACATTAGCAGGTGCGCATAAGCAGGTTGCCCACTGGGCATCAAGGGTGGCTGACTGGCGGTGGGGTTGGGTTGGTGGTTGGGGAAAGGAAGGCGGGGTGGGGGGGGGGGGCGAAGGGGGGGAAGAAGAAAGGTGGTTGGTTCAAGGGTGATCGATGGAACCCACTATGCTGGGAATGAGTGACTGGTTCTCTCCCCCCCCTCCATGGCCTTCCTCCTTGAACCAGCTCTGTCGGACTAATCGCTGGCAGAGCAAAGTGGTTCTCTCTCCCACTTCGCTCTGCCAGCGGAATAGTGCTTTCAGTCGGACGATGGATAGCAAAAGGGATTAGTCCGACAGAAATAGAGTTTGTGCAAACGTAGTCCATCTGATCGATCTTGTGGATATCCAACATCCGACTGAAAGTAGTATTCGACAGAAAACAGTAAAATGCCTTTTCTCAGTTCTCTGTGCATACGGCAGGAAAAAAAAGCAAAAAAAAAACATGTCAATTGACTCAATTCCATCCTTGTCTCTTTTTCTAACGAGACAGCACGCTACGGTAGTTGTGTAACAGCATAGACAAACAGATAAGGAGGGGAGGTCGGTATACGAGTCTGCGAGAGCAAACCTCCGGTTTGGGAATTGGGAGTGAATAGATTAGTGCAGGTGGGGAAGAAGTATTCTGCCTCCACTTTTCATTGTTTTCAATATTTTTAATTATTTTTTCGTTCTTTTTCATGATTTGATCATTTCGATGAAAGTATGAGACATATCAAAGACACGCATGTTGTTTAAAAAAAAAAAAAACACGCATGCTCGAATGCCATTGTTGCATGGACCCTCAGACTGGACGTTTTTTTGCTGACGGTTTCAAATTTCAGTAAATGATACCAGAATGAACGGGTCCCTTGCAGGAAGTTTTAATCTGAAATTTCAAATTTCAATCAATGATATACCCAAATGGACGGACGGGTCCTTTGGGCCACACGTTCAAATTGGAATGATACTGAGAAGGTTAGCA